GGGGCCGGCCCGGCCCGGCCCGCGCCTCACCCCGCTCCCCTCTCTGTCTCCCGCGGCGCAGAGGGCGGGCGGCTGCACCGCGAAGCCAGCGAGCGCTTCGCCGCCGGCTACATCCAGTGCATGCACGAGGTGCACACCTTCGTCTCCAGCTGCCCCGGCATCGACGCCACCACGGCCGCCGAGCTGCTCAACCACCTGCTGGAGTCCATGCCCCTCAACGAGGGGGGCTTCCCGGACTTGATCGCGGACGTTTTGGCAGATCCGGCCCTCGGCCCCTGGCCCGGCAGCGAGGCGCTGGCCCCGGCGGCCGAGGCCTCCCTGGGCCTGGCGCTCCCCGCCTCGGCACCCTCGCCCTCCCCCAGAGAAGAGACCTGCTCCGACTCGGACGAGGCGGAGGCCGAGCCCGGCCAGACCTCCACCGACGGACTGGACGCTTCCCGGACGCGCGGCCTGCCTTCGCCTAGCTCACCCAAATCGATGTGGAGACCCTGGTAACAGAGGAGCAGGCAGGAGTCAACGCAGACCTACCTAGCGGGGAGGGCAGCTGGGCCCCGCGCTCCCTGCAGCCCCCCGAGCGGTGCGGGGGACAGCCAGCCTGCGTGCGGCTGGCGTCGCTGCGTTTTGGGACTGCATGGATGGCACTCTTACACTGTCACGCCCTGACAGGCTAATAGCTAAATGTGTTAACATTTCATCTGTGTGTATGTGTGTGTGTGTGTGGCATTTTGTAACCTTAGGGGTTGTTTTTATGAGAGGTTGGGGAGGGGAGGAGGGGGGGGGGGAGGAGGGAGTTGGCTTTTAGTAGCAAAGCTCTTTGGTGGATACACAGCAGTTATTTGATAACCCTGTCTCTTTCTCTTGGTCCTTATAAGTGGCCCAAATATCACTACCTTTTTCTCTTAAGAAAAAGCCTTTGTGCATTTTAAATCATGAGTGTTAACTCCATGAGAAGCTCAGATAAGTCTGCATGCACAGTTCTAAGTGTTCTAGTGATAGCAAAGATCCCTGAAAGGGGTTGGTGTGGTTAGCATCTGTACTCGGTAGCAGTCCAGAGTCTCGCCTTCAGTGAAGGAAGAGAAAACTAGAAACCTGTTGGAATTAGATGAACATTTAAAAGATATTGGTGGCAGGGTGCCTTTTAGAAATGAGTGTCTTTATGCACATTTTGCTTTTAGCACACTTGAGTTTATTGTGACTTTATGTATATTAGGGTGTCAAATGTTTTTTATTTTTAACCTTTAATAAAAAAAATACTGAATTCACAACTGATCGCATGTATTGTGGAGTGTGATGCACTTCTAACTGGTTTAAAAAAAAAATTACAGTTCCCTATTGTTAACCATTAACAAAAGTATATACATGTTGTGGAAACAATGCTGGTAATTAAGCACTTAATTCTTATACTAAGCATTGTTAGCTCAAGTATTGGAATTCAAATGTTTCTTTTGTTTAATACTAGAAGACACTTAAGTTATTGCAGTGAGCAAGGTCATACTGGTGTAGGGTTGATCTTAGGCCACAGATTTCTGGGCCAGTTTATCTGGATGCCACTCTCAAACCTACTTTACTTGATCTCCCATCTGAAGGTGTTGCTCACCTACAGTCCTAACTGCAGCAGTGCTAGGCAAATCCTGTCCTGGGGCACGACTTCACAGGGGTTTTGGGTTTGGTGGGTTTGTTTTGGTTGTTTGGAGGGGTTTTTTTTTGCTCCTGAATGCAAAGTGGAATAGAGTATGCAATGGATTTGGAAAGTATTCTTTAAAGTTAAAAAAAAAAAAAAGGTTTCTAGGGGGCTGGGGAGGGGACCCTTGGCATTCTTGTACATGAGGTTTGACCCCTCCCCTGTTTCTACATTTGGGAGATGCCAGGTTATTTATGCTGTGATAAGACCTTTCAGAGAGCTGTCATTGTAAAGAGAAAAACAAAAAGGATTGTAAAGTTGCTTAATACATGGAAATTCCCAAACAGAACAAGCAAGAAAGGAAGCAATCTACTACCAAGGGACTAGACATGTAATTTTCTTTTGTTAACAACCCTATGGAATAATAAAAAATGGAAACTAAGATACTGGTAAGACCTCTCCTTTGTATTTTTCTTTAAGTTACCTGAGGTGGGTGTTCTTATTCAAAGATTGTCAGATTTGTTTGGCTCTGGGCAGGGGCGGGCAGGGGCACGGAGGGAGAAGAGCAAAAACCAGCTCAGCAGAGGGAGGTGAGAGCTTCTGTAGTAACCTTTCTGCTTTAGGGAGGGAGGTTAGCGTTTTGAAGTGTAAATGAAGGAGCAGCCTGGGACACTTGCACTAAAAGTAACACCCTACACACAAGGTGACCTCTTGGACTGAGCCTGCACCTCTCTAGCCCCAGCACAAGGCCAGATAGCTTCTTACAAAGCTACTTCCATAGTGTAACACATGGTGTTTGATACGTCACTCTCCACTTCTGCTTAATTAGCCCAGATAACAATACCTCCCTTTAATCACCAAGGGCAGTTCACACATTGCAGTATGTTACCCTCTAAGACAGAGCCCCTTGCTTTTAAGGTCTAGAAAAAGCCCCTTTCTGTAAGGTGCTCTCAAGAGGGAGGTAAAGCCACAGCCTGTTTTCTCAATACAACAACAGCAGCCACAGCAAGCCTGCGGCTCACAACAACACATACACACAGCAGCACGAGGCTGCAGACACTTGCCTGAGCTGGCTGTCTTCATGTGTGACATCCAGGGCCTTTCCTGGGCTGGCACAGCCGCTTCAACCCCTCTGCTGCTGCGGGAACACCGGAGGCAGCTCAGCTTGGCTTCATTTCCATGAGATGAAAGACCTCCAGGTTAGGGCTCTTCTGTAATGCTCCTGTGAAAGCAAGTGCAAATCCTGACACTTCAGTGACAGAAACACAGCCAAGAGTCAACATAAAAGTGCCAGCTTTGGTTCAGCAAATTTGGGGGATTTGGGGGGGCGGGAGGGGTAGCAGCAGAGTCATCTCTGTGAAGCAGCATTGCAGACATGCTGCTCTACTTACCCTGTATTGGCCCTGAGGAATCAGAGCTGAAGCTGGCATTCCCCATTTACCTGTTCCCTTTCCCATTCCTGTGTATATTGTTGCTCTTCCGCCACCTGGGGTAACCCTCACAGGCTGGTAGGTCCACACAGCTCCCTGCACATCTGCCACAACAGCTGGACACATCCCATCCCCTCTGCTGCAGAAGGAAACACACCAAGGGGCTGCAAGCTTGCTGGCCATGGCCACCTGGCCCGCTGCTCTCCCAAAGCAGAGATGGTTAGGAAGAGCCACAGCAGAGGGATAACAGGCCTTTCCCCTGTGCACTTCTCAGTCCTGTATTAGCTGCAAAGAAAAAGGCAGGTTAAAGCAATCCTATTAGGAGTTTTTTAAAAAGTGTCAAAAACATTTTAGAAATGTGTTAGCAATAAGGCTTTTTTTTTTTTTTTAATCCACAAATTAGGTTCACAGAAAGTTTACATCCTCTGATTAGGTGTTGCTGGATTTCTCCATTTGCATTTCTGTACCTTACTGCAAAGGTGTCAAATCTGACACTTCCCTGACAAAGGCAGGAAGAGGTGAGCGTTTTGGGGGTGGGACTGGGGAAGCGGCCGTGGGGGGAAAGGAAGGTTTCCAGCAGCTCTGATGAAAAACCAGTGAAGCCTTTTCAAGTCCTTCTTTATAGAAACTGCCTTTATTCTTTTCCATTCCAAAGTAATACAAACAGACTATCTGATCTGACAGCGCACTGCCTTGTAAAAGGAGAGGGGAGCAGCTCACTAACAGGAGGACTCTCGTTTGATATGCAGTTGAAGAATAATAGAAAGAAGGGCTCATTTTCCCCTCTCTTTGCATGTCAGTCGCTCACACCTGTTGCAGGGGAAAACTGCTCCTTGTTAGACCAGGTCAGCTGGGAGAACTTGCCACATTCTGGTAAACTCTCCATAGATAAAATCCCCAAGGAACTATCCAGTCTTGACATCTCCAGCTACTGGAACCCAGTTTTAGGATTTCCCAATTTATGGCCCCATCTCCAAGCATCGGCTATCATAGAATCGTTAAGGTTGGAAAAGACCCTTAAGATCATCGAGTCCAGCTGTTAGCCTAGCACTGCCAAGTCCACCCCTAAACCATGTCCTCGAGCACCACGTCTACCCTTCTTTTAAATACCTCCAGGGATGGGGACTCAACCACTTCCCTGGGCAGCCTGTTCCAATGTCTGACTGCCCTTTTGGTGAAGAAGTTTTTCCTAATATCCAACCTAAACTTCCCCTGGCACAGCTTGAGGCTATTTCCTCTCATCCTGTCACTTGTTACTAGGGAGAAGAGCATTAAGCGCATGTGCGCACACATACACAGAGAAGCAGGTCTCCAGCCCTAACTACTCCTTCGCCCTGCAGGGACAGGGATGCAGACACATGGGATTTACAAGTCTGGTGTTCAGCTTTTGAAACACGCAGAGTCTTCTGCCCAAGCAGCTCTTCCTTCTCTCCGCTGATGAAAACAACTGGGCCAAACAGCATGTCCCCTGCTGAGTTTGGCCCACGAGCCACAGCTTGGGCCATGCTCACCTGGACCACAGAAACACACAAGCCAGTATGGATGGGACCCCAGAGGAGAACATCATCTTGCTCTGCAGATGGGCACAATGGTTTAAACAAGGTCATGCAGGAAGCACGTGGAAAACTCAAGGATCAAACCAACCCACCAATCTGGCTGGCTTAACCAGAAGCCTATCCTTCCTCTACTTCCTAAGACATATTTTCATTTTCTTGCATGAGATCCCTGATTCCAAGTTGCATTTATACTCTTTCTTATAGACATTCCCTGAACCCATAGTTATCTAAATCATGAAATTGTGCACTTCAAGCTTCTCAGCCTTCTGCATGAGTTAAGCTAAAGAAAAAGAAAAGGGGAAAAAATAGTCTCTCTCCGTCCATGGGATTTTTAGCTCCCTATACAACATTAGTATTTCATTATTGTTTTCAGCAAGTGCAATTCATTGCACTGCATTTTAAGAAGGTTAAAAAAAAAAAAAAATCAATGCTGGTGCAGAAAGCATTCAAACATTAAAATACACATTACAGCAAGAGACTTTAAGCTTAATTTAGTTAAACAAGATGAGGATTGAGGGTGATTTGATTAGTTATACTGCATATGTTATATTATACATATGTTATATTGCTCACTTACCAGCTGAGGAAGTCATGGGTTCAAAAGGTCTTTTAATCCAATAAAGTAGAGCCTTAAATGCCAAGAGCTAGATAGTTGGTCCAAGCTGTTTGAAATGAGAAGGAAAAAGATTGAAATTAGACACTGAAAGAAGCCATGAATTTCCTTTCTCTTAATGTCATCAGGTCAAGTGAGAAGGAGTATCTTTCCAGAAGCAAAACCAAGTTGCTTTGGTTACAAACAAGAGCTACTTAGTAAAATAACAACATACAAGCAGTTATATTAGCTGATCCCTTCTGGTCTTAGTTACCTCGATTTGTGTTTTTTTAGTT